TGCTCTACATACAGTACTACTGACCCTTGTATACTGTCTTACATACTACTGACCTCTGTACACTGTCCTACATACTACTGACCTCTGTACACTGTCCTACATACTACTGACCCTTGTATACTGCCCTACATCCTACTGACCCCTGTACACTGCCCTACATACCAATAACCCCTATACACTGCCCTACGTCCTACTGACCCCTGTACACTGCTCTATGTCCTCTTGACCCCTGTACACTGTCCTACATACTACTGACCCCTGTACACTGCCGACATACTTCTGACCCTTGTATACTGCCCTACATCCTACTGACCCCTGTACACTGCCCTACATACCAATAACCCCTATACACAGCCCTACATCCTACTGACCCCTGTACACTGCTCTATGTCCTCTTGACCCCAGTACACTACCCTACATACTACTGACCTCTGAACACTGTCCTACATACCACTGACCCCTGTACACTGCTGACATACTTCTGACCCCTGTGCACTGTCCTACACTACTGACCCCTGTACACTGCCGACATACTTCTGACCCTTGTATACTGCCCTACATCCTACTGACCCCTGTACACTGCTCTATGTCCTCTTGACCCCAGTACACTACCCTACATACTACTGACCTCTGAACACTGTCCTACATACCACTGACCCCTGTACACTGCTGACATACTTCTGACCCCTGTACACTGCCCTACATACCAATGACCCCTATACACTGCCCTACATACCAATGACCCCTGTACACTGCTCTACGTCTTCCTGACCCCTGTACACTTCCCTACATATTAATGACCCCCCCCTTGTGTCAAGGAAACAGAAGGTGTCCCCAATAGGGCCACAGACAAAAATAAAAACCTGACAGAATACTAACTCTTTCCTATTCTATTCACAAACAAGCAATACAAATATAACCATGATTCTAATGCTGTCTATCCAAGTGTGGGGTTTGCATAATTTTTTCCACCCAACATACATTCCCCTTTAAAAATTTAGAGAACTTGTGTAGTTCCTCTGGTTTGGAACAATTTATTCCTCTATTCCTATTCAAAAAATAGCTGCAGTAGATGATTACCATCATTTTAGTCTGAACGCGATAAACACAGATTGCATTAAGCAGCAAATATTGTACAATTATACAATTTAAACATACTATCTAGTGGTGTTTTGAGTTTATTTCTAAGGTTGGTATGTGAATTAGTTTAATGTTTTAGATGATATCTTTTAAGCTGCATAATTTGAATAACTTGAATGCATAAAATTTAATTTAGAACATTAACATTTAAGTAACTGAATATTTTATTAGCGCATCAAAGGAGGTGTGAGGGGCCGGTAACATTGCTTCACTCAGTGAATTCTGCTGTGTCACTTCTAGAAGGGACTATATTCCTTTACCTAAGTCACCAACAAATGCCATTCTGTCTGAAGCATAAAAAAATTAAAGCTTTTATATTATTGCCCATTAAGGCTTCTTTCACATTGACAACTGGTCTTACTGCCCTGTGAAATGTGATTTGCAGTGGATCAATTTTCTTTGGGCAATATAGCAGCAGTTGGTGGGCATTCAGGAGGCAATTCTGCCACCACCAGAATGTCTTTTTTTCAATTCCAAGGCAGTGTTTGAAGTATTATTTATTTATTTATTATTATACAGTATTTATATAGCGCCAAAAAGTTTGCTCAGCGCTGTACATTATAGTGGGGGACAGTCCATGAAACAATACAGTAACAATACAATACACGAGGGGTTTCAGGGTGCTGCTCCTTGGAGCTTACAATCTAGGAGGGAGGGGATAGGGGTACAGGAGGAAATGGCTGTGGGGATGGAGTGGTAGGGTAGGAGGAGGAGTGGAGGAGATTGGCTGTTAGGTGAGGGCAGGGTAGGCTTCCCTGAAGAAATGGGTTTTCAGGGTGCGCCTAAAGGTGAGGAGGGTAGATGACAGTCTGATGGATTGGGGTAGTGAGTTCCAGAGGATGGGGGAAGACCTGGAGAAGTCCTGGAGGTGGGCATGGGAGGAGGAGACCAGGGAACTGGAGAGTAGGAGGTCTTGTGAGGAGCGAAGAGTACGTGTTGGGTGGTATTTGGATATCAGGTCGGTGAGGTAGTTTGGGGCAGTATTATGAATAGCTTTGTAATGTTAGTAGTTTGAATTTTATGCGTTGGGCAATCGGAAGCCAGTGGAGGGGATGACAGAGGGGGGTGGCGGATACGGAGCGGTTGGTAAGGTGGATGAGTCTGGCCGCTGAGTTCAGGACAGACTGAAGCGGGGATAGTCTGTGATGAGGTAGGCCAGTGAGGAGGGAGTTGCAGTAGTCGAGTCATGAGATAATAAGTGTCAGGAATGGACTGGCCAGCAATGGTGGGACTCACCTGCCTTATGAGCTGCAGTACCAGGGCTGGCCAGCGGGTGCTCCCAGCAATCAGAGACTCAACCTTGCAGCCAGTAAAACACCTAGAACTGATTATACTGGTGTATTTAAGGGATGGCCAGACCTGCAGACTCTGCCTTGGTGTGTGTTTCTCCTGGGCCCTGTATCCTGTTCCTGCTCCCTGTTCCTGTTCCTGTCTGATTCGTTGCTGACCTTGCTCTGATCCCTGGCTTTGTCTGACCATTCTCCTGCTCCTGATCCCTGGCTTGTCTGACCATTCTCCTGCTCCTGATCCCTGGCTTTGTCTGACCATTCTCCTGCTCCAGATCCCTGGCTTTGTCTGACCATTCTCCTGCTCCAGATCCCTGGCTTTGTCTGACCATTCTCCTGCTCCTGATCCCTGGCTTTGTCTGACCATTCTCCTGCTTAACCCCATACGTTCTGACCTCCTGTTGATAATCCCCGGCCTGCCTGACGACGCTTGCATTGTATGTACTGTTATCTGTGGGTGGTTGGTTTGGTTTGTTTGCACTGTGTTATGTTTTAGTATTGCACTGCGTTTATGTTTGTATTGTTAGTGTTAATAAATTATATTTATAACATATCTGAAGCCTGCATTTCCCTGCGTCAGTCACATACCTCTGGTCACACCCTGGAGCCCCGACATTACACCAAGGCCAATCCTGACCAGAAGTGGCTGCACAGGGAAGCCATCTTGGTTTGTTGATGGGAAGGATGGATCTTGATGAGGTTGTGTATTTATATCTGCTAGTGTTTGATGACAGGGAGTATGCTTATCAAACTCTGAAGGAGTATCCCCGGGATGAACTGCTAGAATGTATACGGCTCGCTCATGTTCTAGTAGATCAGGGCACAGAATTCTCCGAGGTGCAGCCATTGATTCAGATTTGTGCGGAGTTGGTTTCATCTGGTTCCCCCGAATGCAGGGATGAATTTTTGCCGCCATTTAGTGCTGACCAGGTAGAGTCCCTGGTATGGTTATTAGAGGATGATGTGGATTGCTTCTTGGAGCATTATGCTGCATGTTCACCACAGATACTAAGAGATTGTATAAACGCAGTGCAGTCTTTGGTCAGACAGGCTTTGTGTAAGATCAGCTTTGTTCAACCCATACTGCAGACATGGACAGATTTGTTGCACCCAGCCTCAGTCAGCCTACAAAAACCCAGTCCTGCTTCTAATATATTTCCTCAAAGCTCTATTCCTGCATTCCCAACAGCTCCTCCTGCCCTGCTATCTACCGCATGTCAGTACCCTGTTCCCACTCGCTGCACCTATCCTGCCTTTAACCCTGTAAAAAAGCCCTCTGTAGCAACTGCTCCCTCCTCTGTTCCATCCTCCAGCTCTTCTCTGTCTCCAGCTGCTCCATTCGTTTGCAGACCTGCGTTTACTTGCAGTGCTCCAGTAGTTAAAACCAGAAAAAAAGCGAAAATTCTTTCCAACCAGTACCATCCTGCCAGTATCCAAACCGGTGAGCCTGCCGTCTGAGAACCTGCCTTCCGTGGTTCAGCCTGGTGCCTCGGCACCCGCACTTCAGCCTGAGGTCTGTACCCAGCCTGATGTCTGTACCCAGCCTGATGCCTCTCTTCAGCCTGATGCCTCTCTTCAGCCTGATGCCTCTACTCAGCCTGATGCCTCTACTCAGCCTGATGCCTCTACTCAGCCTGATGCCTCCACTCAGCCTGATGCCTCTACCCAGCATGATGAACTGATCCAGCCTGATGATCCTATTAGGCCAGTTGACTCGATGCCCGCTGTTGATCCAGATGATCCGGTACACTGATCCGGTGCCAGCTGTCGTGCCAATTGACTCAGAGCCCGCTGTCGTACCTGGTGACTCGGTGCCCACTGCCTTGCCAGATGACGCGGTGCCCGCTGGCGAGCCAAATGACCTGATGCCTGGTGACCCAGTGCCCGCTGTGATACCTGGTGACCCGATCCCCGCTGTCGAGCCAGACGATCCAATGCCTGGTGACCCGGTGCCCACTGCCTTGCCAGATGACGCGGTGCCCGCTGGCAAGCCAAATGACCTGATGCCTGGTGACCCAGTGCCCGCTGTCATACCTGGTGACCCGATGCCCGCTGTCGAGCCAATTGACTCAGAGCCCACTGTCGTGCCTGGTGACTTGGTGCCCACTGTCTTGCCAGATGACGCGGTGCCCGCTGTTGAGCCAAATGACCTGATGCCTGGTGACCCGATGCCCGCTGTCCAGCCAGACGATCCAATGTCTGACCCAGTGCCCGCGGTCATACCAGTTGACTCGGAGCCCACTGCCTTGCCAGATGACGCGGTGCCCGCTGTCGAGCCAAATGACCTGATGCCTGGTGACCCGATGCCCGCTGTCCAGCCAGACGATCCAATGTCTGACCCAGTGCCAGCGGTCATGCCAGTTGACTCGGAGCCCACTGTCGTGGCTGGTGACTCGGTGCCGCCCGCTCCGCCTGGGGGCCCGAGACCTGTCGCTCCGCCTGGGGGTCCGGCGCCCGCTGCTCCGCCTGGGGGCCCGAGACCTGTCGCTCCGCCTGGGGGTCCGGCGCCCGCCGCTCCGCCTGGGGGTTCGGCGCCCGCCGCTCCGCCTGGGGGCCTGAGACCTGTCGCTCCGCCTGGGGGTCCGGAGCCCGCCGCTTGCTCCGCCTGGGGGCCTGAGACCTGTCGCTCCGCCTGGGGGCCTGAGACCTGTCGCTCCGCCTGGGGGCCTGATCTGAGATCTGTCGCTCCGCCTGGGGGCCTGAGACCTGTCGCTCCGCCTGGGGGCCCGGCGCCCACCGCTCCGCCTGGGTCCCGAGACCTGTCGCTCCGCCTGGGGGTCCGGCGCCCGCCGCTCCGCCTGGGGGTCTGGCTCCCGCCGCTCCGCCTGGGGGCCTGAGACCTGTCGCTCCGCCTGGGGGTCTGGCGCCCGCCGCCGCTCCGCCTGGGGGGCCCGAGACCTGTTGCTCCGCCTGGGGGTCCGGCGCCCGCCGCTCCGCCTGGGGGCCCGAGACCTGTTGCTCCGCCTGGGGGCCCGATGCCTGTCGCCCCACCTGGGGGCCCAATGCATGTCGCCCCGCCTGGGGGCCCGATGCTTGTCGCCCCACCTGGAGGGCCCGATGCCTGTCGCCCCTCCCGGGGGGGCCCGATGCCTGTCGCCGCTCCGCCTGGGGGGCCCGATGCCTGTCGCCCCACCTGGGGGCCCGGTGGTGCCGGATGTCCTGTCGCTCCGCCTGGTGGCCCGGTGCCTGCTGCTCCCGCCCCTGGTGGCCGGTGCCTGCTGCTCCGCCTGGTGGCCCGGTGCCTGCTGCTCCGCCTGGTGGGCCCGTTGCCTGCTGCCCCGCCTGGGGGCCCGATGCCATTCGCCCCGCCTAGGGGCCCGATGCCTGTCGCCCCACCTGGAGGCCCGATGCCTGTCGCCCCTACCGGGGGGGCCCGATGCCTGTCGCCGCTCCACCTGGGGGCCCGATGCCTGCTGCTCCGCCTGGTGGCCCGGTGCCTGCTGCTCCGCCTGGTGGCCCGGTGCCTGCTGCTCCGCCTGGTGGCCCGGTGCCTGCTGCCCCGCCTGGGGGCCCGATGCCATTCGCCCCGCCTAGGGGCCCGATGCCTGTCGCCCCACCTGGAGGCCCGATGCCTGTCGCCCCTACCGGGGGCCCGATGCCTGTCGCCGCTCCACCTGGTGGCCCGGTGCCTGCTGCTCCGCCTGGTGGCCCGGTGCCTGCTGCTCCGCCTGGTGGCCCGGTGCCTGCTGCTCCGCCTGGTGGCCCGGTGCCTGCTGCTCCGCCTGGTGGCCCGCTGCTGCTGCTGCTTCGCCTGGTAATCCCGATGTGCCTCTGCCCGGAGTCCAGCCCGATGTGCCTCTGCCCGGAGTCCAGCCCGATCTGCCTCTGCCCGGAGTCCAGCCCGATGTGCCTCTGCCCGGAGTCCAGCCCGATGTGCCTCTCTGCCCGAGTCCAGCCCGATGTGCCTCTGCCCGGAGTCCAGCCCGATGTGCCTCTGCCCAGAGTCCAGCCTGATGTGCCTCTGCTGCCCGGAGTCCAACCCGATGTGCCTCTGCCCGGAGTCCAGCCGATGTGCCTCTGCCCGGAGTCCAGCCCGATGTGCCTCTGCCCGATGTGCCTCTGCCCGGTGTGCCCCTGCCCGGTGTGCCGCTGCCCGGAGTCCCTGCCCGGTGTGCCGCTGCCCGGAGTCCTGCCCGGTGTGCCAGTCTTTGATATCCCGCCAGTTACCAGACCCGGGCGGTGGAACATTTTGCCCAGCTAGGACTGTTTGGAGCGTCCTGAGGCCGCTCCTTGAGGGGGGGGTACTGTCAGGAATGGACTGGCCAGCAATGGTGGGACTCACCTGCCTTATGAGCTGCAGTACCAGGGCTGGTCAGCGGGTGCTCCCAGCAATCAGAGACTCAACCTTGCAGCCAGTAAAACACCTAGAACTGATTATACTGGTGTATTTAAGGGATGGCCAGACCTGCAGACTCTGCCTTGGTGTGTGTTTCTCCTGGGCCCTGTATCCTGTTCCTGCTCCCTGTTCCTGTTCCTGTCTGATTCGTTGCTGACCCTGCTCTGATCCCTGGCTTTGTCTGACCATTCTCCTGCTCCTGATCCCTGGCTTGTCTGACCATTCTCCTGCTCCTGATCCCTGGCTTTGTCTGACCATTCTCCTGCTCCAGATCCCTGGCTTTGTCTGACCATTCTCCTGCTCCAGATCCCTGGCTTTGTCTGACCATTCTCCTGCTCCAGATCCCTGGCTTTGTCTGACCATTCTCCTGCTCCTGATCCCTGGCTTTGTCTGACCATTCTCCTGCTCCTGATCCCTGCTTTGTCTGACCATTCTCCAGCTTAACCCCATACGTTCTGACCTCCTGTTGATAATCCCGGCCTGCCTGACGACGCTTGCATTGTATGTACTGTTATCTGTGGGTGGTTGGTTTGGTTTGTTTGCACTGTTTTATGTTTTAGTATTGCACTGCGTTTATGTTTGTATTGTTAGTGTTAATAAATTATATTTATAACATATCTGAAGCCTGCGTTTCCCTGCGTCAGTCACACATACCTCTGGTCACACTCTGGAGCCCCGACAATAAGGGAGTGAATGAGTTGTTTAGTAGTGTCTGGGGTTAGGAACAAATGTATTTTGGAGATGTTGTGGAAGTGGAGCCTGCATGAATTTGCCAGCGATTGGACCTGGGGCTGGAAGGATAGGTTGGAGTCTAGAGTGACACCTAAAACTTTGGCTTGCGGGGTGGGGACTGAAGTAAAAATATTGCACCGAAAACCAGTGACAGGGAGAGGGTAGTGATGTTACACTGTGTACAGACAGGCACTCTGTCTGTCTCTGTACACCTGGTTGGAATAGGTTTTATTTATCTCCAGCTTCGTTATCTATGATCTGGAGGTAATTATTTTTGAATTTGTTGCAGTAGTAGCGCTATAGAAAACTACCTGAATTTGCCAAACGTGTTGGTAAAATTACCAAAACCAGGTGGTAAGCATTTTTGAAGGCCATTTTTAAGGGTCATAGCACCAGAAATCTGTCAGTAGTGCTTTACTGAATTCCTGCGATAGTTTTCACATAACTACTTGTCCAAATTAATTGACTCTTATGTTCCTACCACAATCATACACACAGCACTAATTTTTGGGTTGAGCCAGTAAACCTGTAGCTTTGGTTTAAGGAAGGATAATATTGATTAAGCACGCCCAATCAAATACTTTGGTAACAAAGTCCATATAGTATCCCCATCTGAAATCATACCCAGGATCCAGTGTTGCAAGGCACACCTGTTCCCTATGTAGCGCTACCCCCGCAGGATCCATTTTGACCAGTTTTAACTGGTTCTTCCCCAAACATTGCAGAGGCAATCAAGCACCGAGGCAACATTACATTCACTTTCGGTCCAAAAAGCAGTCTAGGGTTGACTTTGTATGATTTATTGCTTGCAGAGCTTGTAACAGAAGGATTAGGGTGGTATGGGATACTCCAGGAACACTGAAGGAGGATACACTTCACTAGGCTAGGCTTCTTTGAACAGTCTTTTTGCCAGGGACAAAGGAGAATGGCCAGAACTGAGATCCTGTAAGAGCCGTCTCAGTGAGAGCTCCATGGGCACTTATCACCCCACAAGTAAAACAGAATGCAGTCACCAGGATCTTGAGCTCAGGTCAGTACTTACAATGTCACAGAACAGCTGAACACTTCCCAGTTTCTATTAGACATCTATATGTCTCAGGGCAACTGCACAGTTCCTAGCTTCCTCCAGGCTCTCTTTGGCTGCAGGATGGCTACTCACTCCCAGTTTCCACCAAACATTCTACAGTGAGGAGGATGTTAATATTCACAATGCATCAGGATAGCTGCATACTTACCAGGTTCCACCAGGTGCTCTTCAGTGAGCTCACCAGACCAGATCCTTAACTACCCTTTAGCTAGCTCCAAAGATACTTAGAAATAGGCCCCCACAGGGCTGCCACAGCTGGGACCTCGATGAACATCAGCAAAACCCCAATAGAACTGCTTCAGTGGGGCTGCAGCCCCTAAGGCTGTGGAATGTCTCCCGCAGGACAAAAACATGGCTGCTCCAGACCCCAGACTATTTTCTACGTACCTGATAAGAGACTGAATTGACAAGGTTGTCCTCTCTTGTATCTCCAGCACAGGCCCCACTGAAGATGGAACAGATGGTGCCAAAGGACCTGAGGAATACGAGTGCTGGCAGGTGTTTACAGCAGAACTTACAGCCAGAGATATAGACTAGGAAGGTCAGGTAGTGCATCAGGTCAGGAACTGGAACAATGCAGGGAAGACCAGCCAAAGTTAAAGGGGTACTCAGCAAGAATTGCAGGTTCTGAATGTGTGGCTTGTCAGAGCTCTCGGCAGGATTGAAGCAGGAACAGTGACAGTGAAAACTGCAGCTGAGATGACGGACAGCCAGGGCAGGCACTTAGGGATAACGTGCAGCCAAACCGAATACAGAAATGTAGTCAGAGCAACAGCCATGGTCTGCAAAGAGCAGGCAAGGTATAAAAGCATCAGGCAGACACATGGTCAAGAGCGAGCCAAGGTCAGGAACCAATAAGTAGAAGAATAAACAGGATCCAAGATTGGGTCAATAACAAACCGGGTCAGCCAGGGATGTAATGCAGGATAAAAGCAGTACAAGCAGGACACACAGGAAATGAAAATGAGCAAGAGCATCACTTAAATAGCCTGCCTGGCTCCAAAAGGAACTCTGAATACACACCCACATTTCTGCAAGCATGCACGTGCCTATGCTCAATTCTATGCGCATGCGCATGTCTGTGTACCCAACATTTCACAGTAGTTTCCTTACACTATTTATGTTCACCTCAGTCACCTACTGGGCACACCTCCCTAGATATTGACTGAAGCACAATACATATTCAAGGCTACCCATTTGACTCTCCCAGCCCTATGTTCTGTAAACTTCCAAAAGGCAGAGGGAAACAGTCAAACCTACAACCTGTCAAATCCAGAGCAGGCCAAAGAATTGCATACGATTACAGAGGAGACAAAAAAAGAACTAAATTTGCCTGACATCCTAGCAGCCTGTATAGGAGGGTGTTACACCTACTTAGCAATACATTTACCAAAGACTGTCTCTCAACCTATAGTGGTAGTTTTGGATATGGCAAGATCTATCAGTGATAACAAAGACTAATACTAAAATATGATTGCTGAAAATGGGAATGCATAAAAAGAGCTTTTATTGCTAAAAAAGGATTATTCAGTGTTGGGGTTATACTTTAATACATGTGATACTCTGTTCCATGTTCCATGTTAATGCTCCTCTAGTTGAAGCCTATGACTTTCTTCTTTCATTTTAATCTCTAAAGCTGGTATGTTCCCGTGAGTGCTGAATATTGCCTGGAAAGAATCTAGGTCAGATAGGAGGCCAAGCATATCCCTTATCCTACAATAATATTCAGACAGCATACATGAGCATGGCCGGGGAAATGATTGAGGTGTGACGGCTTGAATCTCAAGCAATGTGCCAGGAATTGCTGATAACATGCAGATCCTTTCATACTGCATACTTTGGAATGCTGAATAGTCTGGGTCCTTGTGCAGCCAGGGATGGAAATGGATTTGACACGGTAACCTAACGTTCAACTTAGTCACTCAAGTGTGTAAAACACTGTGCAAGCTGTCATGGAAATGCAGGTTTAAAAGTGACAACTACTTTCTGTCAATACAAGTGTCCATATTAAAGTATACCTATCATGTAGCAATGAAAATAAAAATACTTCAAATGCAAAATTCATGTACACTATTTAAAGGGACTCTATTACTTTGCTTCTTCAGGCAAAGTGACAGGTGTGCTCCCCCACCACTAAGCGTAAGCTCTCTTTCAGATCCAGTGGTATATTTAGGCAACACAAAAATTGCCCCCCCCTCCCCACAAGGAGAGACCCTGACACCGACCAACACCCCCTCCCCCATGAAGAGTGCCTGACATTGACCAAAAACACCCCAGTGTCCCCCACCCCCACCCGAGAGAGCATTCCACTACCACTGCCCCCCATACACTGCGAACTCCCCCCACCACGGTGAGAGAGAAGACACTCACCTTCACAGCTCTGGACATCCCCGTGAACAAGAGTCAGGCTCAGCATACACCATCAAGCAGCCCGCAGCCACTCTCCGATCCCACCTGGTCCCCATGCTGTGTGTGTCTCTTCTTCCATCCCTTATTTAGGGGGGCAGCGCTGCCCCCTTAAAAATGATGCTGCCCCCCTGAAAGATGCCGCCCTAGGCAAATGC